TTCGCTTGCTGGCAGGGATCTTCATCCCCATCCTTATCCAAACAACACAACTGTGTGGCTACGTTGCTGCCAGGGGCCGTGATTGTAACAGGATGGGGGAGTCATGCTGCAAGGCTCTATCTCCCAGCCACAGAAGAGGCAATGCCTGGATGGGAGTGATGTGGGTTACCCCTCCTTCCCCATGGTATGCAGTCCTCATGTTAGAAGAGAGAGGCTGTGAAACCCCATCTTCCCTTCTCTAGCCACAGCTGTGGTTGACTTGATGAGTTTTTGTTCCCTTTTTTGGCATATGCTCCAACTTCAGCTTCACCACCCTTGCTCGTAGGGATAAAGCTCTGCTTCAGCTCTCTGCTCTCATTCCCATGGTGGCACGGAGAAGTGTTCAGAGGTGGTGAGTCAGGCAGCCCTTTCTCACCCACAGGCAGCTGCCTGTTGGGTTTGTGGTCTCTGCCGGCAAAACGCAAGGAACCTTCATTTCACTAACCTTAACACAAGGCTCACAGTGTTCTCCATTTGACTGAGGTTGCCCTCAGTCCGTCCTTTTGTTTTCAAACCCTAAAGCCTCTTTAGTTTCGGGATTCCCCATAGCCTTTGACAGCAGCTGTTGCTGATCACCTGCGGATCACCCACTTTCCTCCTCAAAGCCGAGGCCATGAATGCTTTAGATACAGCCTCATAGGCAGGCAGCACGTCCAGACCTGGCAAGAGGGCAGAGCACGGGGCCGGGAGCCAGGAGGAGGATTCTCCTGCTGCAGGAAAGAGACAGCTCAGCCCCGTGAGTCAGGGCCACGCACCTGCAGAGCCAAGGCTGTGCTGAGCAGCACCCGTCCCTCCTGAAAAGGGCATTTGAGACAAGTGCTCAGCAAATCTCTTAGCTGTACCACAAACTGGCAAATGGCAGCTCATTTAGAACGTGCCCCGTATCAACTGGAGGGAGGGGATGTGAAATACGGTAAAACTGGGAATCCTAGAATGGTTGGGGTTAGAATGGACATTAAAGCTCATCCAGTTCCAACCCCCTGCCATGAGCAGGGACACCTTCCGCTAGAGCAGGTTGCTTAAAGCCCTGTCCAACCTGTGGTAAATGCCACAGAAATGCTGAGAAAACCAGAACTACCCCCAGTCTCTCTGAATAAAGGGATTTTTTTCTGCTCTCAACAGAGAGGGGAAGAAATGACATTGCCTGTAGTAACGATGTGCTGAAGGAGGAACTAACCTGGTTCACTCTGGTTTAACAGACAGCAGAAAGTTGCTGAGGTGTGGAGGACTCATGTGCTGCTCACACTGGCTCTTCTGAAACAGTATTCACCAAATCAGCACAGAAATATGCCTGGCACTCAGTCACTAACCCAAGATAACATAGCCCAGCAAGAATGTAGTCTTCAGCCTGACATTCCTTTGAAGATGTGCAGTATTCACAAATTCACTTGATTTTAAGGAATAAAAGGGTAGATTGGGGCCCTAAACCACACAGCTGTACAGCTGTGACACCTCTCAGAGGCTCTGAAGTAGCAATCCTTGCTGCCCGCTGCTTTCTTACTGCCTTCTCCCCACTCTCTCCATCAAGTGGCTGCCTGAGTGGAATTTCCCAGGGAATACACAGGCAGTTTGGCAGCTGCCCTTATGCCCGGGGCTACTGCACATCCAGGAGATCCTGCAGGCATGCAGCAAGCCTGATGCTTCTGGAAACCATTGGACCTACCATGTGCACAATGCTCAGGCAGAGCAAACATGTGCCTGGAGTTTCCAGACCTCCTGCTGCCACTGAAAGGTCTGGGGTGGGGGGAACCCCACGATACCTTCCACCCTGATAACCAAGCCTTGCAGGACCTGGCATAGTTTAATCTGGATCTCTCAGGGATCAGAATGTCATTGCAACAAGACCTGTGTGTAAGTCAGGAAGGGCAAATGAAGCCTATGGTCTGGCTTGGGGTTTACGCCAGGACAAGGGAGATGACAATCTGGTACATTCAGTAATTTATCATTTCTGAAACAACACCTTACTCTATCAGCTCCCCTTCCTTTGTCATCAGAGAAAAACTCACACTTTCCTAGCTGAAAGTTCAGTCTAAACAGAAATGTCACTGAAAGCCCAGCGAGACCTTTGGTTTTCTAGTTTCACTCTCCTGAGCTGTGGGGAAGATTATGCAACAGGAACACTGTGGTGAATCATCTTCTGGCGTTGGAGTAAATTAGAAAATGCTTACTGCGACGTTGTAGGGGTTCGTGCCGTCTATTCGTGGTCTGCTTTTTCTTTTCCAGGGGATCTCAGTGTCTTCAAGTATCAGGTGGTTGCCTGATACCTTTGTCGGAGCTAGGAAAAGGCTCCTGGGTAGGTGCTGCAGCTCAGCTTTGGAGAAGAGGGTTGGGATGGCAGCTGTTGTAAGGAAATGATGCTAGAGGAATTCTGAATGTCCTTGCTCAGCAGTTTTTTCCCTGTGGATATTTCTTGCAGGTCTTTGAATCACTCGCTTTGTTTCTCTGCTGTAGCTCTTAACAACACACTAACCCATGAGGCACCACAGCACTAGGGGGGTCAAGGAGATTTTCCTCTAATGTTTGCTCTTGAAGCATAAAGCCTGGCAAGAGCTCAGAGACTGTTCTAAGAGAGTCTGAGTTTGTCAGAGGAAGGACAAATTGAATGTAAGAAAAATCGTCAGTGAGGCTCATCCCTCCTTCCTTGTAACTTGTGTTGTTTTCTGCTTAAAAATAAGTGTGTGCTTGTCTTGGAGCATGAGAATTCACAAGCTGAGTCTTCCCTTTCCAAATTAAGGACAGAGATCATTTGGGGAAGGAAACTGAAAGGTTAAGAGAAATATGAATATTGTGAGATTCAAAGTAAAACCGTGAGAACTGGAAACACTACAAAGGACATTTACCAGACACTTGGTTAAGATGCGTGATGCCATAAATAACCTCTACATAAAGATGTGAGCCTTAGTCACAATTTCATTTCTGGTTACTCCTTGTACCGCTATGAAGGATTAGAAGGTGGAAAGTCCTGCAAACATCTAAAGCTAGATCAGAAATCCCACAAATGAACCCCCTGTTGTTAAGAAGTACAGTCCTGAGTTAGGGCAGTACTGAACTACACGATATGTTCTGCTTGACGTAAACTTAAATTCCAGGCAAATAAAAAGGGGCATGAGCTTATTAGCTTGCTTTGTGTAGCACTTCCATGTTCATTTCTTCCAAACAAGAAATTATGAACTTATTTTGCCATGGAAATCAAATAAGGCATCAAAGCCCAATTTCCTCAGGACAGTATCTATCATTTTCTTTGAAGCAGACATTTTTATGACTAGCTATGTTAACAAATCCAAACTAAGTATCCAATCTGTCAAGGAGAAAAATAAGTTTAGAGTGAAAGTAAGTATTGCTCATTAGATTTTAATGGCAAGGCATTTGAAAGAAGAAAACCATCCATTATTACGTTGGTGGAATAGTGTGTTGTCAGATTCTCCAGAGAGGATTTTTATCATGATGTTTAAATATATTATATTAGGGGATCACTGTTACTCTGTTCTCTAAACAAGACTTTTTAGACTAAAAGTTTACAAGTGATATATATCTGCTTATGAGTACTTCCTTAACTGCACAGCAATTAAAAAGAGCTGCTGGGTACTAATCCTACCTGTCCCAAAGCATGTGCATGGGCAAAGAGCTGTGCTGATGCAAAGCTGAACTAAGGAGCATGTATTAACATCAACAGGAGAGCACAGAATGGCACTGAGGGAATCTGCAGGATCAAGGACCAATGTGATTAGTATCTGTCACTAGAAAAAGTGCCATCGGTAATGAATATAGACCCGTGCTGGTAAATCCTGAGCCTAGAGACCGTTTGCTTTTATCACATCTGAGTTTCTGTCCTGACTGATCTCTGGTTTATGTTGGTTCATGCAGCTGAAGCGCGTCGCCAGCAGCCTGTTAAACACTAAGTAGGTCACCGTGAGGGTTGTAAGGAAGGCAAGAGCCGCTCCCCTCCTGACATCTGAGGCTGGCTGTGGAAAGAGCCTCCTGGATAAGCCAGACAGATCCCACTTTACTGGAACACTCACCTTGCCATGGCATCATCCACCGGGTTAGAACTTCAGATATAACATGCCCTCTTCCCCGACTTCCACTGCCTTTTTCAAGACAGAACTTGTTCTACATTTCCTTCACTAACCTGTCACTTCAGGGATCACATCACACAGGTCCCTGACTCAAGTCATCCCTGCTTCTGCAAAAAAGCTTTCCCCTTTAAAACCAGTTTATTTTTTAAAGATACATAGGAGTGATTCTGGTTTTCTTATAAACCACTTCCACACCTAGAAATCCACCCTGAGAAATGAAAGGAAAGAGCTACAAAGACGTGCTCTAGCTTTCTCTCAGCACAGTCACAGGCACGGCAGTGTACCTGCTGATGGATGCAATGCTCAGCCCTATCTTCAGCCATCTCCACCTGGCAGCACAAGAGCGTGCTAACTCTTTGAACCAAAGATTACCACCTCTGCAATCTTTAATGATTTAATACCTTTAATATCACTGTCTCGTCTCACTTTCTTTGGTTGCAGAACAGTGTGAGGTCACTGCAGTCTGCCTGAGTGAAATGCAGTTATTACAGTCAATGCTGTAGCTCAGCCTCGATACTAAGGCTTGCTGCAATCTTTGCCAAACTTTCATCACCTGAGTCGAACATTTCATCTCAAAGGCCTGCCATAGCCTCTGGTTTGCCTTGAGGTTTTATTCACTCTTTTGATTTAAATTAACTCAAGTGAAACCATTCAGCCATTTCTGAAACGAGGGCAGAGTAAAAGAGGTTCTTCTGCCTTTTTTACAACAACTCAGTGACATTTCCTCTGAGAATCATCCTTCCTCTCCTGAAGAGAAGCCTGAAAATTGGCAAGGGAAGGGAGCTATTTCTGGGGGAAAAGAAAAATCACTCAAGTTTGCCAAATCACAAAACTAAGAAGAACTGCAGTGTGGAAGTGCTCAGAAGGTACCTGGTGGACGCTCACCTGTGGTCCGTGGTGGCCTCATCTGGCAGAGCAGGTATTAGCCCAGCACTCATCAGAGCTGGCTTTGCCACTGCAGCTCATGGGTGCTGCAGGCAGTGTGGGTCCAATGGCCTTGTGCACTACACATGGAGAGGAGCTGGAAGCTGTGGCAACCTGCAGAATGAAGCTGGGTCAACGAAACTGGGAACAGATGCCAGTGCTGGAGAGAAGAGAGTGGCTGTGCATTAGAGCATGGAACAGGAGATACATGCAGAAGGGGAGTGGGGAGAAAGACAAAACTGGACATGAACAGGAGTTGTGGAAGGAACCAGAGAAGACACAAACCTGATGACCTGTTTGTGTTATCCTACTGTGGCCCCCACAAAACCATTTACTACAAATTATATTACCATGTCCTTGTTTTCCCCTCAGTTTCTATCAGCAGGCAGGCAAGACCCTATTAAGGGATGAATAAGGACTGCAGGGTGATGGAGGCTATAACCTGTTGCAGGAGGTGGGAAGCTTGTGGTAAATTATGGAGGAAATTAGAAAGAGAACCAGTTAATGCAGCTGAAAACTGACCTGGAAACAACGCCAGCAAAATCCTTGCCTCTGCCACAGAACTGCTGAGCAGAATTAGGCAAGTCACTTCAATAAAGAATTCCCAGATGGTCAGTAAATACACATTCTCCATTCACCAAGTTCCTGACTCCCAACTGGATCTGAAGACAGTGGGGCTTCAAGAAGCTCCGGCACTGCGTGGGACTACGATCACAGACGCATCATGTCCATAGCCAGAACTGGCGAATACCCTTGAACTTGATTTCTCTGCCTCAAATGTCATCTATAAACCCAGCATTATACCATTATACCACCCCCACATCTCACAGGGGAACAGTGACAAATAAATTTGCTAATGCTTGTCATCAGTGCCCTGAGAGAGCTCATAAGGAAGTGAATAATTCTGTCTTCATGGCAGATTTGAATGGTGCGCAGTAAATAAGGCACGGGGCCACACATTGCACAACAAGGAAGAGCAAGAGGTTGAATAATGGTTCACTAAGCAAGTTTGTGCATGGAAAGAGACAGAAGCCCTATGAGGAAAACTGTGCAGTCATATGGTAGAAGATGACATTGTAACTTAAGGGCATACATGTTCACACAGACTGGGTGAGCATCCTTCTTTCGTAGTGGCATTTCTTACCTTTTGAGCACTCGACTTCATCACCTTTTGAATGCTTGATTTTGACACTTCAGTACCAAAATAAGCCCTCCTGTGAAAAAGAAGCATCATTCAAGTCAGAGAGTAGATACCTTGTGTACATCGAAAAGGGTCAGGGGTCACTTTGGGCTGGAAAAGATGTCTTGCTTTTCTGTCTCTGCCCACAAATGGTTCCCTGCCCACACCTCTCTGAACTACTGTCTAGAGAGTTTCCTCTTCTCAGAGCTGCCACAAACCTGGGCAGAAGCTGCTGTGTTTGCCTGCACTCAAGTCACCTTTCCTGGGACACCAGCACATGTGATGCTACACTTCTGTAGCTCCCATCATTTTGAATGGATTTCAAAGTGCTCATCACTTACCAGACTTGGACTTCTGGTACTAGTCAGTTGAACAACATAGAAGGATGAACAAGGCATGATTTGGAACAATTTATTTGTCACATATCTGGCAGCACAAGGGCTGTATTTGGGATTCGGGTGCCTGAAGAATATGCTTTCCTACTCTGCTTTCCCTGGGGATGTACACAGGGACTCCAGCCACCTGCATAGAAAATGTTGAAAATGATTAATTTTTAAAACAAGTGACCTTAATCCAGGGAGAACCTAGAACCTTGGACCTAGCTCAAGTTTCCCTTCTGAGCCTGCTCTAGTAATCTCCAGCTTAGAAAGCTGAAGGCTGGGGGAATCAGAGAGGCTTATGATCTTCATGCATGGCCTCTGCACAGCTGCACAGTAGCTTTTCCCTCCTGAGTCAGTCTTTAAATGAACTTTTTCAAGGCTGATGAACCTAAAATTAGATTTTGCCAGCTCTAGGAGGCCTGGGAGCACATCTCCCTGGCCTTGCTCTGTCTCGAGGCTGCATCTTTATTCAGCCAGTGGTGGTTGGAAACCAGAATTCTTGCTTATTTAGGAGCTGTGTGGACACACATCCGGAAGGGAGTGTAATAAATGAGTTTTTTTTTGTGCTGTATTCAAGTTCACATTTCCACTGACTCCAACAGGTTTTGGATCAGGCCCTAGATAGGAATAAGGGTAGTGGGAGACAGTCTCATTAGCACAGAAGTGCCGTTATACTTACAGTGAATGCCAGTAAATGATAATTTCCTGTCCTCTGCAGCCCTCTGTGTGTCTTCTTTGCCAGCAAATCCCATGGGGAAGGGAGTGTCGCTTATTCTGTGTTTGTTTAGTGCCTAGTACAATGAGGCTCTCTTCCAGTTGGGGCCACTTGATGCTACCACAATGCAAATAATAATGATTCTAATAATAAAGTGCAGACTTCAATGGGATGTGGGTCAAGCTACTCAGAAGCATTGGCCTTCCTTGCTGACTTGCTTCCTCCCACTTCCTTGCTTCCTCCTCCGGTAGGAGAGCACTTCTACATCATCAATTCCCAGGGGTGGTTGCCCTCACTGTTTGGCTCTGCAGGAAGCACCATTGCTTAAGACACTTGGCCTTCATTTTCTTCTTTTGATTTTAATCCTTTTTCCACTGACGTGCTGCAGAAATTCTCTTTCCACACCCTTCACTTCCCGGGAACATCTGCCTGCTTGGATCATCCTCCCGAGCACAGCACCACTTAGCTCACTGTGCTTGGGCACTGCATTAGCCGCAACTACGACTTTCTCCAGCCTTGAAGACATGGAAGAAGTGGAGCTACCACCCAGATACCTGGGAGGAGGCCAGCAGAGCCTGTGGTGGGGTCTCTCAGCAGAGGACAACAGCCCCGGGTATAGGGGTGGTGGGCGAGGGCTGGGGTAGCTTCTCCCACAGCACTTTGTGGATGCGGTGCAGCCAGTTTAGCTTTGTGGACCAGGGCTGGTTTTAGTTTGGTTTTTCACAGAGCGCTTCATTGACAAAAATGGCTCTTGGGTAAAGTGCTGCTTTGTTTTGGTTGGAATTTTCCAAGTTTTTGGACAAAAATACACACGAAGGTTTTGATTTTCTGTCACTTCATCCACGCCTCTACTGGAAAAAAGGAAGCTGAGGGAAAAAATGGGCAAGTAAATACATATGAGACCTCAATAAAAGGATACAATAATCAAGGAATGAAATCTGTGCAAAAAATTTAACTGAACAACCATTTTTGCAGAGAATATATTTAACATTTTCCAACCAGCTTTACCAGTGACCTGTAATTAAAGAGGAGTCCAAGCCACAGAGTTCAGAACCAGACTTTCCCAGAATTTATGGGTGTCCACGTCTGGGTTTGGTTCAGCCCAATACGAAGCATGCCAGGAGCTGAGATCCAGCTCCCACCTCTCCTGAGGCTGGACAGCACCAAGCTGGGGACATTCCCTGCTATAATACAATTAAAGAATAGTAATTGCAAATTGTAATGCTTTGGAAATTCAAGCCAACTATAGAAAAAAGTCAAGAGTGAAAGAAAAGAGAGATAAGGAGAGAAAGAAGGCTCTTAGCTCTCCTTGCGCTTGGTGCAGTGGGGAAGCATTTGTGACGCCCTCAAGGTATGTATTATTTCTCTGCTGGATATTATGGGACAGGTTTCCAAGTGAGCTCCACATCCTGGATGCTGACCTCCTTAGCAAATCTGGCCCTGCCAGTTGATGCCAAGTTCCTGAAACACTGGCTGGGGGCGACTCTGAAAGCACAGCCACACCTGCCCTGGATCTCAGCCTCTAACAGCTTTAGATTGGCACCCTTTCAGCACTGTTTGTAATCCCTCCTGCCAGGTGTTGTTTGTGGAAACACGCTGTCCTCCCCACAGCGCTTATGTCTTAGAACAACTTCATCTCGTGCTTTGGACGCAAACCAAGGTGCCATTCCTACAGGCTGAGAAAGAATGCTTGTTTTGTTTCCTTGGTGTGAATATGCTGGGTGGTTTGAAAGTGATTCTAGGGTCTGATGAAAGCAGGCTACCTGTCTTGCTCCTTGTTGAGACCGGTTGGGGCAGGCTGCCAGCAACAGCTGGTTCTTAATTGCATAGACACTTATCTTGTTCTGACACCACATGCAAACATGAATGTTTTGCTGCAAATATGAATTTGGAGATTGACTCAATGGGCTTTCAAAAGCCATAGGAGTATTCTGGTGCATCAGAAGAGGCAGATGGAGGGAAACAGTGCACCAAGGAGGACTACCAGGAGACATGATCTGCACCAGCTAATCATTAGCTTCAGGAAATTCCTCTTTTCTGAGCAGTTCAAGAAAGAGCAGAATCAAAGACATCTTAGTTTGTAAATCAAATGCTGTGAGAATCTTAAACTGAGCAGTGCTGGCCAAACTTCTTCACCCACACAGTTATCCCTGTTGACGTTAGGGCTTCCTTCTGAACTACCTGCCCTTGGCCAGCCCATCAGCATCTGCTCTTGCTTGAGTCACTGGTTATTTGAGCCCAGGACATGTCTTTGTCAAGGCAACAGGGGTTTCTGCAAAGCCTGTGCAGGCGACCTGCTGCCCACGCCTGCTCCAATACCCATCTCTAATTTTCCACCCGAGGAAGGCCGGCTGTGTGTTTGGGCGGGAGCGTTTCCCAAGGTTCCAGCTCTGCCTGGCTCCCAGCGAGGGGTTTATTTTTGGTGCGAATCCCTAAAGCCAAACCCCTTCTCCTCCCTTTGCTCCGACCGCCAGTGCTGGGAGGATCCGGTAAACACCGTCTGAGGAGGAAGCAGATAGGGAGGACGAGCCGGGAGCAGGGCTCCTGCTGCAAGGAGGGGCTGCAGGGATGGGTATGATACATCCCCGTTGGTGTTACCATGATTTATAATTAAGGTTTCCCTGGTGTAGACATGAGATCACCAAGAAAGGGGCCCTTGAAATATCTCTGGTTCTTTTTCAAGGCATGACATTTAAGATTGCCCCTACTAAAGAGAGTCCTTGAACAGAAAACAGCCCCTGGAGTAGTCAGTGTTGGTCATCAGCTGTCTGTCTACTTCTCGCTCATCCTCAATCCCATGAGAAATCCTATGGAATTTAACAGGCTTAACCAATATCTTCCAGAAAGATTAAATTGAGTCACTGCTCTAAAAATACCCCTCCAGTGAATGAGAGCGATCGCTCCAAAACTTCCTTTCAAAAATCTGTGGTGGGTTAAACCTTCGGCACTGCTTCAAATGGACAATTCAAAGGATTGATAAACAAAGGTCTGCTCTGCTCTGGAAGCTGCCCCTGGCACAGCTTCCCTGCTTAGGAGAACGGGTTTTCACCACACTTATGTCCAGCCAAAGCCCCACCACTGCGCTCTTGCCATCAGGCCAAGAAGGACTTTTGGTGCCACACCTTATGGTGTTCCTGTATAAGGGAACATTTCCTTCAGCAGCACAAACTCTTTCCACCACAGGGTTTTGCTGGTACCACACACTGGAAGCCACTGCTAGTGAGGACAAGACCTCAGTGAGTCTGAAGCTTTGTTTAAGACCAGAAGTATAATACAAGGAGTAGAAAAAGGTGCTGCTAGCTGGTGCAGTGAGTTCCCCATTGAGAAACTGGGAGAGAAAAGAAAGGTGAAGGCTCTGATAAACTGGTTCCCCTTCCAGACACACGATGTGTAACACTGCTGGGCCTGAAATGCATCTTCACCCCAGTTATTTTCCCCCTTCTATTTTGTGACTTGCACTGGACTCTTGTGCTGTTTCTTTCTTCCATTTGCACAACCTCTCACACCACACATCCCATTCACAGCACTTACAGCTTCCTGTTTTTTCTTAAAAGCAAGAGTGAACCCTCACAGCTGGAGCAGAACGGGGATGAGCAAGCACTTGCTGCCCAAATGATACAGAAAAGAAAGCCGTCCAGAAAGGCAATAAGCACATACAGCAAATGTATCCGGTATCTGAGCCACATCTAGGCATTAAAATAAGTAAATGTACTTAATTGAATGGGTTTGACTTTAAGCATATGCTGAAGGGCTTTGCTGACTCAGTGCCCTGGGTGACACAGAGAAGCAGCAAGTGGCCTTACTCCTGGCATTTAGGGTGTGCCTGGGAGCTCACAGCCTGCCAGTGATGCTGATGTCCATATGCCAAGGGTGACTCTCCCAAAAGCATTCCTCTATCAAACCAGGACTGTGTGAGGAGCAGAGGAGAGGATCCAAACCTCTCTTCCAAAGGCACAAGGTTTTGCAGTGGGCATTTCTGCACAGCTCCACTGACAGGCTGCACTGGGTATTGAAATCTAACAACTTGCCCAAAACCATGTTGCTTTTTCCTAACCCCAAATCTCCAGCACTGCTAAAAGCTGGGTGCAAAGTCCAGGTGGTTTTAACCCGCTCCAAAGCACACCATGATGGAGAAATACCTGGGTACTGGCTGCAAAGCAGCTTCAATACAGCGCCGTGGTCCTGCTCACTCTTTCCAGTCTGGACAAGGTGTAAACCTTCAGGTACAACCCCAGTTGCTAAGGGCTTGTGTTTGGAAAGCATCGTGCTGCGCTTCAAAGCCTTTCATCGGGGCCAGGAGCCAGTGTTGGTGCATCCCTGGTGAAGGCAGCAGAGCTGCTGTGTACCTGGCTGCTGGACACACTTCAAGCGAGTGTTATTGTTTGGTCGGTCAAATCCTGGGGCTCCACTGAGGAATATTTTCCGTCTGCAAGGGGAAAAAAAAGGCTCTGTGAGTTCCAGCCTGCTCAGACGGAGGGGAGTGATCCAAGGTGCCAGGTTTCCACATTAATAATCCCAGGTGCTGGAGCTGCCCCTCGCCTCGTGTGTGCTGGGTGAGTGAGGATAGCACGGGTAGGACACAAAAGGGATGGGGAACAACTCTTCTGTTGTATTCGCCCTTTTAATTTGGACTCTTTCTCATGCATTCCCAGCACTGCACACACAGGGGCTATATGGTTTACTGGAAGTGGCTTGCCCAAAAGTTTTTCATTAATGTTTTACCCTGAAACAACACACACATCAGCCACACCAGCATGTGGTTTCAATCCAGTGAAACACTGATTCAGAACGTGTTTAGCAAACATCTCCTCCTGCATCTGCAAACAATAGCTACTTCCAGACTTTCACTGGCCCGTGGTTGCTGCTGCTAAATGAGTTCTCCTCCCTGAAACCGAAAAGGTGAAATTTCTTCCTCAGTGACAGCCACCTCTCTGAATGGCTCTGCCTTTCTCCTGCTTCCCAGCTGGGAGTGCAGCCATCCCCACCAGCTCAGAGAGGATGAGATAGAACCCTCCATCCTGATGCCCCCAGAAACAGGAAACCCACAACTGTCTTTGGGACATCCTTTAGCAGCACATGCCAAAGCTGCAGTGGATAAGAGGCTCCAAGAGCTCTGAAAAGGGCCTCGGTCCATCCAAAATCCTTACAAAATGAAGTAGAAGGAAAGAAAAGGGAGCCTGTGGCTGGACTTGGGCATACACCCTATTGTGTGCCTATTTGGGGTAACTGAGTCCTGCCGACATCCCTGAGCAGGTCAGCCATTCATCCTTGTCACCTCCCCAGAATGTCTGTGTTCTGTCCTTGGCAGTGGAGGTGACTCACTGGCAGTGCCTCCACTGAAATACCGTCTCTCCTGATGCTGTGAAAATAACCTGAGATGAACAGAACCATCAACTGCCCGAAAAACAACAGCAGCCTCTTCTTCAGGGCTGGTTTCCTGAAGAGGAAGGTGGCACAACTGGGAAAGCACAGGGACCAGGATAACCCCTGAGGGATGACCCACATTTGTAGGGAGGTTCCTACAAATTCAGTAAAAGCCTGAAGCCCCCTTCCCTGCACACTGAAGCAGATTTTACTGCTCTGAGGAGGCAGAATTACTCACAGGTGGTTCTTTTCAAAAATACATATGGGCTGAGGCTAACAACATACGGTCTGATGGCATATTAATAACAGAGTCGAGGTTCCCTGTTACTCACACAGTGACCAAGCAGACTGAGGGAAAAGACACCTTGAACAAGGAATTCCTACTGCCCTGGTGTGCATGAATCACCCCGACCCAGGTCACCCTGCTCCCACAGCCCTGCCTAGTAAAATTAGCCATTTATGTGTATGCGGAAATAGGGATTTTTTTAATCCCTTGCTTAGATGGTAGGGATGAAACCACAGACTTTCTCCCCCACTCCAGGATTAAAGCACATTTTTGTGGGATACATATAACAAAGACCATGTAATGTCTGTAAAAGGAGTTTTGGTCCCTATTTTCCTTTAGCAATTCCTTGTGCTGATGCTTGTGAATGAGGATGATGCTCCACCGCATCCCTGCAGGGCTCACAGTGGTGCCAACCTGAGCATTTCTTACTCCAGGTTAACCAACCTCCTTTGCCCCCATGTCACCTCTTTCTTCTCCCTTTCCATCCACCTGTATTTATCCTGGGTGAACATACAAAGACTCTGTAGGAATTTTTCCTTGACCTTCTCTGTTCTTAACTGCAATTACAAAGGGAAGCACAGAACAGAGTGGCCCAACTCCCACACTGGCACACACAGTCCCAGACCTGGACTGAGATCTGCCTCTCCAGTGCACACTCCCTGCTCGTGGAGGAGGTCCAGGATTAAAACCTGCTCTGTTGACCCTCCTCTGCTTTGTACTGGTGGCACAGCAGCTTGTAGTCCTGATTTACAAGCAATGCAGCCTTCAGGGGGTCACAGCCCTGCACACAGTGTTCACTTCAGCCCAGTGAGCAGGGAGGATTCCTGACCTCCATCATGATCCTGTTCTTATCTCCTCTGTCCTGGGAACAGATCAAATGTACTGCAGCCGGGAGCAGCACTCTGAATCCAAACAAAGCAGTGCTGGAGGGAGATGACTCAGCCAGCTCCAGCTTTCTGCCCTGCAAACTGGAAGCTGCACCCGTTCAGTGGGATAAATACTCAGCAAAGCCAAGGCTGGGTCCCTCTGCAAGGACAGGTAAAGGCTTTTCCCCAAGGGACAGGACCCAGCTCATGCCAGCAGCACCCACCTTTGGACCTGCAACTTTCAGTGCTGAGATGCTTTTTGCAAAACACACCCCGGTGCGAATAAAACCATCTCATTTTTGAGGTCAGAAGTGCCCTGAAGTGCATTTGCCAAATGTATAAACTGGATTTAGCTTCTCTGGAGTGGAGAAAGATGATGGGGACTGGAAAGGATGCAGGAAAAAACACAGACTTGATTTTGTCCTGTGATCAGATCAACCTGAATCAGAAAGGAAAGGGGCCACAGCTCCAGAAACAGCACCAGAAATAAGGGGGTGAGAAGTGACCCCCTCATTTCAGTAACACTGATCCAATATCATTCACTTGAGCAAAATGTGCCTAATTACATTTCCCTAAAATTAAAGGCAGTTAGAAATCACAGCTCCTTGGAATTTGTCTAAAAAGAAATACACCCCCCCCCAGCATTCTCATTCATATGGGTCTGTATTTTCAGGTAACTGGTGGGGCTGGGCTCTAGGGAGAGCAAAGCACAGCAGCCTCCCTCCCTCCTGTTTGGTCCAAAGGAAAGCTCAGGGTGAAAATCCAGCTGGATGAAATGAATGTCTCCTCTCTTACAGCACGCAGTAAAACAAAGGAGCACGGAAGATTGACTTTTATCGCGAAATTTGCCACAGTTGATCTTTCCAGCTAAGGATGTTCCTTCTCTGCTGGGCCTTAAATTTGCCCGCATGAAAGCACTATGGAAAGCTGAAGCAAATGAGTGGAGGTGTGAAATCAATATACATAAACTCAATGGCTGCGAGCCCCAAGGCTGAGGCTTTAGTTTGCTGCGCTTCATGCAAGATGAGCTGAGACCCCTCTGTTTGACTCCAGGCGAGCCTGCAGACAGACCTTTCACCTTCCGCCCTTGCTAATTCATCTTTGCTTTGTGTTAATGGAACAACAAATCCAGCTTTTGGACCCCAGAAAGAGATCTAATGATGGCAGGCATGGGAGAGGCATGGCTCCCAGGCATGCTCTACATGGGGAGGGGAATTTCTATCCCAAAAGCTCAGAAGGTTTTGGCAGGATATTTTACTTTGATATCAAATTTCCTTCTAGCTCATATTATACCACACAATCTCCACAGATGTGCTCTGAGCCAGACCCTTAGCTGGAATATAGTACTGTGGCTGCAGTGACTTTTAAAGGACGGTTATATTCATTAATGCTCTGATCTCTAATTCATGCATTTCCCTCTTACGAGTGGCCCAGGTTTAAATAGCTTATGTTTGTTACAAGGAACCGTGAGCAGGAAGGTGATGGTTATGCAGCAGCCACCACAGCAAAACAACTTCTGCTCCAAAACCAGCCCCTGTGCTGCAGAATGGGAAGTCAGAAACGCTCTGAATTACACACAGTGACAACCCAGCCTCACACCCTAATGCTTTCAGGTCACGGCATCACTCCAGATACTCAGGTCGCCCCCGAAACAGCCCCAAAATCCCCGAGCCCCCAAACGCAACAAACCCAGCGGAGTGCATGCATCAGAGCAGCCGGGACGGTTTCTGCCCTCGCAGTGCCCGTTCCCGGTGTACGGGCTCTCTCTTGTGGCTGCCTGCACGCAGCACACGGTGCTCGGCGCCCGCGGCGCAGTTCGGAGCACAGCCCTTCTGGCATGGCCCTGACCCCGAGTCCAGACTGGTTTGGGCTGGAAAGCACGTTAAGATCACCGAGTTCCAACCCCCTGCCATGGGAAGGGAGGTGCTGCTGTGAATGCAGCCCTCAGAAGGGCAGAGGTGGGAGGCTTCTGGCCCTAGTGCGCGTGAATGCTTTGCTTACAGCACTTCCAGCATTGGCTGCAATGGGCAGTGGCAGTTTCTTTCCAGATTACTGCCCTTCCAGGCAGCCAGGGCCATTAACTGCACAAAAGGATGTCATGGACCGATGCTCTGTGCCTGTGGTCTCTGCTGTTTTCATGGTCTTGGATGGTTTTGTGTCCTCCTGTGCTGCCAAGCCTGGCTGCAGGCAGAAGGTAATGTTCCTGGAAGGACTTTGGAGTGCAGACAGCTCTGCAAAGACAGCACTGGGACTGCAGGAAAGGATCCTGTCTAATTGCCAAACAGAGCTGGCATCTCCAGGTATCTGCATCAATCTCTATTTCTCACAGCCCAGCAAATAAAAGAGCCTTAATAACTCAGTGTGAGTGGCTGGTGAGTACAGCAACCCACTGTCTGCAGCTGCTGTTGCAGTCTGCAGACAGATCTCTGGAAAACCATGCCCAGCCTTGCCCATCTGCAGCTGCCCAGGACGTAGCTCCTGATGCCAGCAAGCACCTTATAGTACATACCTGGGGCTTGGTCACTGTCTGTATGTGTGGTAGGGAAACCACCCCACGCCAGCCAGCAGCACCTGAGAGCTCTCAGAGCTCAGCCACCCCTCTGGCTTTGGAGCAGGGCTGGCTGGAGATGAAAGCTGCTGCTGTGACCCAGAGAAGAGCCCGTGGCTGCTCCCTGCAAGTGCTGAGGCAGCACATTAATAATCCTGAGTGACAGCGCTCTCGGGAACTGATAGGCCAAGCTAACAGATATGTTGAGGCACGGGAAGGTGTCCATATGCTTTGGTGATTGCATTCCTCTCCCTTATTGCACCACATATGCTGTGCTTTTTGCACCTAATAGATTTCTAAATTAGCTCTTTCTGTCTGAGTGGTCGCCTTAAGTGTTTCCATATCACATCTTTTATGACTAATAAGGCTTCCATTTACTTAACCTGTGCTGCCATCGGTGTGTGACATGGTTTTACAGTTACCATACCCTGCTCAGTCCTCCCTGATGCTCTACGTTGGTGATGCTGTGCCACGCCATGTGGCTTGGGCACATAGGAGCAGCTCCATCCCAGGTGTAGGATGCCCCATGGGATATCCCTGGGCCTTCTCAGCCTCACACTTCAGGCTCTTTCACATGCCCCCATTCAGAAGGAGAGAAGAGGTTTGCTCTTTCCGTTCAAGACAAGACCAGAGGAAGAAGCAAAGACAGCAGCTGCTCTTTTTGTCACTCTGCATCCCTGTAAACATGCCCCATTACAGAGAACAGCCTGGAGGGACCTCTCTAAGCACGGGTTTAGCAAGGGAACGAAAGAGGCTGTTGAGAAATGAATAGCAACAACCCAGCGATGGCAGCACCTTTCAGGGCTGGGACCTGCTGACCCCTGAGCTGATGCATGGAGCTGAGCTAATTAAATAGAAAATAAACAGCCCTGAAGTGCCACTTGCCCAGACAGGATTGCTGCCCTCATGGGATACAGCCCACGCTGCCTCATGTGCAGGGAAATGGGACCAGGCAGCAGGAGATACGGGGTTGGTGCCAGTGCCATGCATGGCTGGATGTGGGGAGGACAACCTTGAACCTGTGGCTCTTGGTGTATGCTCGGTGATTGAATTTGGTGTAAAACACCATTATTGCTGAGTTAAGTGGAGCAGGCATGAGCCAAGGACCCTAACAGGGGCAGACAGGGCGATCACCTTGGTTTGCTCATATGGCACCTCATAGAGTGCTGGGGAGCCAGGGGTGATCCTGACAGCGGGACAACAGCAGTCATACACCACAAGTAGTACCTTGCCTCCCTCCACACCAACATAACACAGTCCTGCACCCCTGCTCTTACCTGCCCTGAGCCAGACAGGACAAACTGCCCCTCAGGAGATGAACTTTGCCGCTGATCCAGTGTCCAAACTGCCCTTTCCTGCTGGTTTCTTTGGTCTTGGGTATGAGCAACCAGAATTCCACTGGACATGCCAGGTCTTTGCAGCACCATCTGCAATACCAACAACATTCCTCTGCCTCCATGGAAAATACCTCTCTAGCGTCCTTGCTTTTTGTTTTCCCAGCCATAGGCAGGCTCAGAGCCACCCTGGAGCTGATGCATACAGGAATGCTCTTGCTATCCGGCTATTACTCCTTGCAGCAACATCCCTAAGTGCTCCAGTCCCCACACTAGTGATAGTCCATAATAGGTGTTGTTTAAGCATCTTGCCATATCCTGAGAGTCCCAGCCCTTCCTTCTGGCATCCCTGCAAGCGTTAATGGCAGGGTTCATGCCCCAGCAAGGCAGATGGTGCCCGGAGCAAAATAAGTGATGTTCTGAGATTGTTTTGTTTGATCAGTGCTATTAACCTGATAGATTGTTTGGGGAAGGGTTTTATCTCAGCCCTCACATCTGTTCTGCATTTGGAGGCAGCGGTGAGAGGCTGGGGGTGAAGAGCAGGTGCTGTGGAGTGTCTGGTGAACATTAGGGAACATTCACTTGGAGGCTCCGGGGCTGCCAAAAAGTGCACTGATTGGACAGATGTTACTTCATTACTGTCAACTCGTCATCCTGGATGTTTTAAGGGAACATTTGTTTGTTAAGGAAACACAGCTGTTACCAAGAAATTTGGGTTTCCTTCCCTTTTTTTAGCTGCAGGGCACAGGAAAAGCCCAAAGTATCTGGGCACCTGCAAAGCCCCTTTCTGGGCAGCACCCTGCACCCAAAGAAGGGGCATAGGCCTGGGAGGATCTTGCCTGTTCACCTACTACCCTCTTGCCCCAGGGCTCAGCCCTGTCTAAACTCTCCTGGACATGCTTTCCTAACCCGGTCTTCAAATTTTCCAGCACTTGAAGGCTGCTGACACTGACAGTCCAGAATCAAACATCACAGAATGGTTTGGGTTGGAAGGGACCTAAAAGCTCATCCAGTTCCAACCCCCTGCCATGCGCAAAGACACCTTCCCCGTGCCTCAGTTTCCCCACTGGGATTTTGGACAGAGCCAATTCCAGCCACAGCGATGTCAGGAGGTTTAATAAGTCCCCCCGTGTCCTGTGATGCTTTGAGGGGAGGCAAAGTTTGCTATAAGCTGCATGTGCAGTTTTCACAGGAGGAGCAGGCTGTGCAGTGACAGCCTCTGAATCCATACTGGGCAATGAATATCTACTGGAGTAGTGAGAGCATTTGTTAGCAAAGTCCTTCTTTATTAGGTATTTAACCCAAAGCAAGTCTCATTTTGCCTTTCCCCTGCGTTATAAATACACCTGCCAATATCTGCAACTAAGTGAGTTGGGAACTGTGCAGCGAATCCAAGCATCCCTTTGTGAGATGCTCCAGACCAGGTCTTCTGGAGCCACTGAATCACATCAGCTTAGGCAGCATCTGATCGATTCTGTATTATCATTGTCCCATCTATTAGCACAATAAACGATTGCCCTGCACTGACCTATCTGTATCTATATGTCTTCCCATGCCTTGCACAGCCTTGTTCTTCCCTTATCGATTTTTATCCTCCAGCTTTTTCCGCTTTGATTGATTCCAGCAGACGCGTGCAAATGAGGAGTCAAACATCTTTATGACTGGAGAACTTCACTGTTCTTAATAACCTCCCTCCCACTGATAAGCATTTAACAGCCGATACATGGGAGGAGCAGGCTGCTCATCCTGAAGGATGGAATGCTTTCTCCTTTCATTTCATCCCACTGGTTGCAGGCAGCTAAAAAGGTGGCTCAGCTTTATGCCTCCTTGTGACCTGTTTCTGTGTTTAATGTCATAGCCCTCAGCTCAGATGCTGCTTTTATGTGGCAGTAAGTCCAGAAGAACAAGCTAATTTCAACCGGGTGTCCTACAAAACGACCAGGAATAGGTCAGCTCCTGCCACTACCTGAAAAGAGTTCCCTGGTATTGCATAAGGCTGGAAAATAATCTTGCATATCAGCATCAGTGCTTCAAGCATGGCAGAAATCAGCCTCTGGAATAAGATACTAACAGAAGAGAGAAAACATCTACAGGTGTATCATGCAGGAGCATCTACACAGACAGCAGTTACTGAGTGCTTTGGTAGGTTTGCACCTATGGAAAACATCTCCTTGTCAAGCGAATTGTGTTTAAAGGCTCCTGAAACTACCAGCTAAAAATACTTCACTAGGGATGGCTGCAGAGAAACACCAGAGTGTTGGTGGAGGCAGAAAGGTGTAGATGAAATCCATTGATTAAATCTCCTCAAAAGTGAGACACAACCAACAAAATCAGCCATGAGAACAGCTCCTGCCTTTGAGCTAAGCCAGGTCATGTTTCAAACGTGAGCCTCACCCAGGTTCAGGAGCGAACCCAGCTCCTGAAGCACAGACTCCCTTCTCCTACCACCAACAGGGAGGAACAGGCAGGACAAAATCCCAACAAACATTACCCAGAGAGTTCACAACCCCCTCAAACCACTCAAGATTTACCCGGCTTTGACACTGCAGCTTGTAAAACTGTGCTCATCCTGGGCCATTGGGGACTGTGATTTTTAGGAAGGGATCCCCAGTGGCTCCCTATTTAAAATAAATGGGACACTGTGACCCAAAGATCCCCCAAGTCCTACGTATTGGGAATTACCAGCCTGACGTCCCCTCCTACCCATATCCCTTGTAAAGGCTGCTGGAATCGCAGATAAGGTGCTGGTAGTACCAGGCTTTGCCTTGCCTTATTAATGTTAAATAAAAGTTGGATGCTCTTTGCAGTTACAGCTGGAGCCTGAGACTTTCAGAAGGAATCTGCCGAAAATGACTTTTATATACTGACTGCCTGAATGGATAATTAAACAAATAACAAAAGTGAAATGCAATTTGGTTTTACCTCCTGGGAACATTAGCGTTAGTTTATTCTTTTTATCAAAAGACTTCAGAAAAAAAACCCAACTATGCAATTTAACAATATTGCTTTTGTAAACAATCTGAAAATCCAATAACTGTAAAACTTATGACATGTTATTAAAATGTCTGCTTTTTTTTGCTTTCTTCTCCTACAAGCGAAAAAGCAATTCCAATCTCAGATGCTATAATTTAATTATACACTTTTGGCTCTGAAGATACCATAATTCTTAGCACTGAATACATTCCATTTAATGGCCTTCTGGCATGTTTGGGAAGCTCAGACATCGCTGAGCACATTGGTCCGGTTTCACAAGAACTTTGCTCACTGGGTGCCTCACTCTTCTCAGCTCTGAGGAGTCTCAGTGTCCCCTCACCCAGCCAGAGTGACACTGGCCATGGGAAGAAGAGTTTGAGTTTCTTTATCTAATAGGCACGAGGGGGCTTTTGATGGGGATGGGATTGCACTGGGAAACAGGACACTTGCTTTTTTCTCCACAACCCTGAACAGCCATAAGAAATACTACCCAGGCACTAGGACCATGGTGCCTAGCAAGTCTCTGCCCTAAGCCCTGAGCCACAGTGCTGCAGATGCTGCCCCAGCATCAAGGTGCAGGAGGCCTACAAGAAATCTGTAGAGGATCTTTTGACAAGGGCCTGTAGGGACAGGCCAAGGGGAATGGCTTTAACCTGCCAGAGGGGAGACTGAGATGAGCTCTTAGGCAGAAGCTCTTCCCTGTGAGGGGGCTGAGGTGCTTGGCACAGGGTGCCCAGAGAAGCTGTGGCTGCCCCATCCCTGGCAGTGTTCAAGGCCAGCTTGGACACAGGGGCTTGGAGCAACTTGCTCTAGTGGAAGGTGTCTCTGCCCGTGGCAGGGGATGGAACTGGGTGAGCTTTAAGGTCCTTTCTAACCCAAACTGTTCTATGATTCTATGATCTATGACCTCGAGCAACATAACTTCAAGGGGCAACCACCCTGAGAATCATGGACATGCTCACCCGTGCCCACTGAAATGCCACAACCTCAGATCCACGCAAGTGCTGTCCCAGTCCTTGACCTCCCCTGTGCTCAGTCTGCCACCCCACATCCCTCTCCCTTCCCACCCCCTGTTGCAGTGACTTCAGCAAACAGACTTGATGCTTCAGCCATGACCTTCAGCAGAGCAAGAGCAGGACCCACCCTGGCCACAAGAGTGTTTCCAGCACAAGAACTAATCTGAACAGAATTTAAATGCTAACAAATAAATAAAGGCAAGCTACAGTGAGCTAGTAATAAGATACCTTTGGATGTTCATTATGGTGGATTTCCAAGCAGTTAAATACTTTAATGCATTTCCCTTTGGCTTGCATATCAATCTCACAGCCGGTCTGAAAGTAGCGTCTCATCTCCTCCCCCGTTATACATTATTGGTGAAATGCCTCAGTGGCACCAGCAGTGACTCTCCCACCAGGTAGGGGCTGTGATTCATTGACAGCAGCAGCGTGTGGATAATTGATGGCAAGTGATTGTCAGCATGTGATGATTATCTCTTCGGGTTGTCTGCAAAACAATTAATGAAAAGAATTTATTTAATTAATCATTTCCTGTAAATAAATGCATAAAATAAATCACGGCGTTGTTTCTAAAAATGGGTTGCTGTAAACGGCTGCCACATGTTAGAGTGATGGAGCTGATGGTGTGGAAGAGGCACTGGAGAGGCTGAAATACAAAGTGGATGGCAGTTAACCCTTCCTCCAGACTTTGGAAATGTGGGACGTTTCTGAGGGAATGGACACCTTCCACTAGAGCTCCAAGCCCTATCTAACCTGACCTTGAACACTGTCCTGTCCCTACAGGCCCTTGTCCAAAGCCCCTCTCCAGGTTTCCTGTAGCCCCTTTAGGCACTGGAGCTGCTCTAAGGTGTCCCCTTAAGGAGCCTTCTCTTCTCCAGGCTGAACCAGCCCAGCTCTCTCAGCCTGTCAACCACTGTGTGATTCTGTGATGTTCCTCACTGATCTCATCTCCATCACAGCGAGAGCACAGGCTGGTGCTCAGCTGCTGGACCCCCAGGTTACCTCTGTTCTAACCTCCCTCAGTACAGACTCTGTTTTGTTCCTGTTCCAGCTCTGGGTTGTTCTGAGGACTCAAACTTGCACCACACAGTGAATCTCAGTCCAGCTCTACGTGCTGCAGAGCCCCTTTAGCTGCTCTCTATGTTACCAATGCTCAGTCTTCAACCCTGCACTACCGCAGCATCTCCTAACTGCTACTCCCCAAAAAGGCATAAACCCTGCCTCACACAGATGTCAGTTCCTTCAAACACTCTATGTCTATGCTGGATGCCACCTGGGATAAGCCCCGTACAGCTGGGACAGTATCATACTGCATCGCAGCATGGCATTAGGGTGTTTGAGATGCTTGAAGTCCGCCTGCCTCCCAGAAAAGCTTGTGATAGAGCATCTCATAGGGATAAACCTACCTTTGGCTGCTGCCAGAATCCCGCCTGTAAATCAGGGCAGACTTAGGCCATTGCAGAAAACAATGGGCACTAGAAAAAGTGAGCAGGTAGGTGTTCAAATAATAATGCCACATTTCCATCCAACTAACCCCAAGCGGAGACAAGCACGAGATGTGTCATAAAGCGACAGCGCTTCCAGAACACTGGAAGTTTCCAAAATTAATTTTCTTCATTTTACTTTATTAAAATTGCTTTCATTTATCTCCCCTCTTAAATATTTTATTTTTCCGTATTAATGGCTGCAATTTCTACTGCAGCTTGTTTCTGTCATTAACACTGTACAAACTTAATATCATTAGTAGTTTTTTCCCTTAATTATGTGAGTGGAGAAGAAAAACATCAAAGTTTCCGTGAAATTGGAATAGTATATCTAAATTGCCTCATGTTTATTTTAACATTAACAGTAAATGAAGCTAATGGGCTTTTATATTATTAAAAGCAGCCATTTGTGTCCTGCCTGCTGTAATATATAGCAAAGCTTTAAAAGATGTTAAATAATTAGTTATTTAATAGGGATGTGCAAAATAGATCAAACAAAAGGCAAACTTCCTGGTAGCAGAAGCTTCCGTTCAAACCAGGGCCCCTTTGTGATCCCTTAAAATTGGGGTTTTCCTACCCCATCTTATGTCCCACTGTTAATCTGATTGCTTTAATCTGCAGCAGGCCCAGAGGGTTCCCAGTTTGTCAGCCTGGGGGACAGCACAGTCTGTGCCCAGAAGCAATGGTGATGATGGCATCGAGAGGATGCATGGCTGCAGCTCCCATGGGGGCTCAGAAACAGCTCCTGCCCCGTGCAAGATCTTTCATGGAGCGCAGTGACCTTCCCTCATCCCTTGCCAAAGGCTCCTGTGCTCCAGGAGGTGAAGGGGGTGATGCCAACAGGGAAAATGCTGTTGGTTTTCACTGCTGAAGCATAAGGGCAGGACCCCCACAGGCATCCTTATGCTTTGCAGTGTAAGTTTTCTACAGACAAGCCCAGCACACATCAGGAGTTATCTACTCCAAAATTCACACCAACAAATGCATTCTTTCTTCCTGGGAAAATCTGTAGCAGTGACAAAACCTTAGCAGCCAGATAACAGATGTAATGATGAGGGATGATAACGCTCTCTCCATCACTCTTCCATTGAATGAAGCCTATGGATTTCAGCACAAGGACAAATTCAGGCACAAGTTGCTCACTTGTGGCCATATTGAAACACTTTAGGACAATATTTGGCAATTATGGCTATTGCCTTTAGGGTAATACTGCAAAAGCCTACCCGTCTAACAGGAATTAACTGCAGGATTAGTGCCACTTTCCCATGTTCCCAAAAGGCAGCAAAGCTGAATTCTTTTTAACACCCCATGCTCATATAGGATGATATTTAAACACCTCCTGGTATTGCCTCTCACTCCTTCACACTCGTACTTCAGCACTTTACAAACACCATTAACAGCCCGTATCTCCCTTTCCCGTTTGTTTCTGTGCTAAGGAGATGCATCGCTTAAACCAGCTACAGCCTAAGGAAAGGGTGTACGAATGAGCAGTTCTCTCTTTTGACCTATTAGTGCTATTAAAAATGTGCCTGGAATTAATAACAATAATAAACTGCTGTGGCTTAAATAAAATCAATAACAAATGGCAGCTTTGCAGAAAGCCTTGGGAAAAGGCTCTAAGAGGGGAGGGAGGACACAGGGAAGGATGCACTGGGGAGCACACCTGGGAATGACAGAAAGTAATGGTGTTCCCTGGCTTAAACTTAAGCAGGGTTTAACTCTCAGGGGTTATTTTCTGCGTGCTGCTCATCTCACAGCATCTTCACAAGGGCTTTTTGAGCAGTGTGATCCCCCGACACCAGCCTCAAGAGTAGCTGTAAGTCTTGGCTGGTGAAGAGATGCTATTTCCTGTGCCTTGGAGACATGGAAAGCTGTTGAGATAGGGATCGCTCTGCCTCTCTGCAACACGGGCTGCACATGTAGGACAGGGAAAAATAAATAAACTGGCCCCATATTGCAAGCCACAGGAATTTGTCATATGAGGAGCACTGGAGAGGGGAGAAATCACCATGCGGTTGTTACTCCTGTCTAGGAAAACTAGTTCACACCAGCAGACCGTGAGTTTATACCAGGTTGTAATGGCCTGGTTGTTCTTTCATCACCCATGAGCGTCTGGCTGAACTTTAAAAAGGAGCCTTCAGTGGTCAAAGGCAGCTTGAACAACTGGGCATAGCAGAGGAGTGTGCTGGGGATACCAGTGTGGGTAAAGATGAGGGATGAGGTCAAGCGGTTTTGCTTTAGTCTGCTTTAGGGAAAATAAGAGGTAGAGTGGGAGAAAAGAGGAATTGCTTAGGGAGATACAAGGTTTGCTTAAAACATCCAGATCTTGGACCTTGGGATGACACAGTAGACTTAAGGGTTTGCAAGCCAGAAAGTGACCTGATCCAAGGCACTAGTTTCACCCCCTGCTTGGACTGCAGCAGGGTCAGAAATGCCACAATCTCCCTTGGTGAGAACCAAGATCATACTTGCTGAGCTTCAAACTTTATCCCAAGAGACCCCAGTCAGTAAAGGAGACACCAAGGGGCCAAAGTGCAAACCATCACCCATGGGTGTGAAGCAACACTGAGCATCCACTCCTGTCCCTAGCTGCAGTTTCAAGGAGCTTTTGCACCTCCAGCTGCATCCATGCTCTTCACCCTTCCCAATCCATAGTGGGTGCCACTGCTCCTTCATCTGAGGCAGCAGCATCCAATGATCCACTGTGAGAAGGCAGGTTTATCCCCCTCCATCCCACACCTCCAGGCAGGAGGGATGGGAGGAACATGGCCCGTTGGCCGAGAGAGAATAATTACAAGGAAGTGACAGCTTTCCTTCTGCTTAACTTGCTTTGGAAGGAACAGTTGGGGGTACTACAGAAACTAATGTAAGGTAATGTAATCATTTACAGAAGATTTGTGGTAAATGAATGTTTGGCCTCTGTCCAAGCACACAGCCAGGGCTCATTACACCGGAGGAGATGGCAGTGAAAGCTTTCCACGGCCACTGTTTGTCTTGCATTTCATCTCATGTCTGACCCCCCTGACCTCGGAGAAGACTTTGCTTTTGGCTGGCCGGATTTCAGCTGCGGGAAATGCCATTTCTAAATGACAGCACCGTACACGCTCACCGTGCCGGACCTTCCGCGCTGTAACGAGCCCCGGCCTGTTCAAACCCCGCCACTTGAGGGAAGAACACAGGATTTTGTTTTATTATGCTTTTTTTTTTCCACATGAAACCAGCAGCGAGGGCCCTGGGACAGGGTAACTTAGCAACTCCACCGCAGGGATTAGGAAAATTGACTCCAGACCAAACTAAAACAGCAGAGTTTCCTGTTTTGAGCCACTCTGTACTGTATTAAAATTATTTATGAAATGGGTAAGAAGGAGGGGAAGGATGGGGAGCTGGGGCTGCTGCTGGGGGGGATTTCATCCCACTACTGAGCTCACAGCAGAGACAAGCAGCATGTTGGGGACCAGGATGCTGAGCTGGGTCTCAGCAACAGGACTATGGATCATCTGCACATGCAAAGCTTGGGTCAGCAGCTCTGGCCCTCCAACCTGGTTAGCAAAGCACTGGGAAGCATCCCAAACCTCCTGGCACTATTGTGCAGGGGCAGATTCTCATCATGGTGAAGGAGGAAAGATCAGACCGATCTGAGCTTCTGGGACAAAACAGATGAAGCCCACAAGCACACTGAAGTCAATGAACAAACCCATCCCTTCAATGTATCTGCTGATCTCTCAACTCCAGGCAAAGTTTGGAGGGCTGCAGTTAAAAAGATTTTTTTCCCCCTTTTCTATTTAAAGGTGACAAACTTCAAGACAAACAGAGGATGCAAAGAAGCACAGCCCTGCATCCCTCAGACCCCTGCTTGGTCAGGGCAGAAACACTGGCATAGTTTTGGCACCACGCTGGCGTCTGCTTTAGGCAGCAGCATTGAACAAGGGACAGAGGGACACAGATATGAAGGGTTTGAGGGAGATCTTGCTCCATTTTCTTTGGCTGTTTTCACTCTGGAGCC